ATGTTGCATTGCATGCATTAGAGTTTGGTAACAAATATAGTACATATTGGGGAAGATCTGTTGTCTGTGTGAATGCTGTTTGCAAAAAGATGCAGTGAAATGTAATAAAAATTTATTAAATAAAACAAATAAAATAAAACCACAACACTTTAAAAAAAATTATTAAAAAGCATATAAATAAAATCATAAAATTATTATGCCTTCAAATTATTAAACAATTCACAATTTTATATGTGCAACAAATATATTTTACACTGCAACAAATGGACAATAATGATTTAATACTACTAAAGGAAGTCATTGTGCCAGTTTCTAGTCAGCACGTGTCACAGTAGTGAAAACATTTTGCAAGACCCTTTAAATACAACTGATGCTACACAAATATTCTTACAACAGCTTTGAAGTTGCTATAACTGATATTTCTCAGAAGCCAGTCAGCAAACAGGAAGACCTGGTGACCTAGTAAAGTGGCCTCCTCCCTTACTGTTTTCAGTTCACCTCATCCAGCTGGGTGGAAACACACACACACATGCGTTTGTTTCACTATATTAGTGAGGACGTTGCACAGACTTTCTATCACCTAACCCAACATCTACCCCTAAACCTACGCCACACAGAAACATGTACAAAACGCTGGATTTAAAGAAAAACATGTTTTTGCCGATTTATAAGCCAGTGAGGACCAGTAAAATGTCCTCACTGGTAGGTTGTCACTATTTAAATTAGGACATTTGGCCCTCACAACTATGATTGAACAAGTTGAACAAACTCAGGGTTATTGCGTCTGCATGTGACATCAGTGGCGAACAGCCAATCACATGCCTTACAACATAGAGAAACTGTGATTCACTTCTCGTGAGAGAGACAGCGAGGTTCAAATCTCTTTTGCTGAAGGTTATGGGATTGAAGAATGTGAAGACACTGAAGAAAATACTTGTGAAGTTAGTTTATATAGTTGATAATATACACTGTAAAAAAATTCCGTAAAATTTACGGGGGAAAAAAACAGCAGCTGTGGTAGCCGGAATTTTACTGTAAAAAATACGGTAGCAACATTTTAGGTTTTATGGTTTTAACTTAAATTTGCAGTTAAACACCGTAATTTCATTAACTGATATAATGTTAATATACCAACCTATTGAAGTATTGAAATCTGTTTTGTACCTTTGTAATACACTGATAACCACCAAATGCAGGTGGTGATGAGAAAGTCACATAATGAATTAAAGCCCATCACAAGCAGCTTGTAAATAATAACATATATAGAAGGTGCACAGTGTCATTCACACAAACACTAAACACCATCATGGTAACACACATGAAACTGAAATGCAATAAAAATAAATAAATGCAATTCATTTAACAACATTAGGTGTAACACACAACTCTAATATACAAAACTGATAAGAAAAAAACGAAGAAGAAACAGTTATTTCAACAAAAAAACATCAAATTTGAAATGTAACGCAGGGAGTTCTGTGAATGTCGATTTACGGTTATTCACTTTTTCACTTCCAAAAACGGTATACAACCGTAAAATTACATGTAATGTCCAATACAATTCACTGTATATAGTAGGGGAATTTACAGTTAACCATTTAACAGGTTTTTACTGTAGCATTTTTACAGTCTTTTACCGTTATTTTTTACAGTGTATAATGATGGACTCGAACATGTGAGGCCACATGTAGTCAGTTTTAAAGCATTATAGTTTTACATATCATCTGTATATATTAATATTCATTTAAACTAAACGCTTAATAATAATTGTTAAACTAAAATTGCTTGTGTGTAATGGATTAATAATAGTATAAATAATAAAATAATTATATAAATCATAGAAAATAATTGTAAGTAATTATCATTAAAGCTACACAATTTCGAATTTGGATGTGTCAGTGTCACTTTGCTCACATCTGATTGGCCCAATTTCGGTTTGAGATCTCTGACCCAGAACATAACCTGCCCTGGAGCAGGTCAGCTATGGAGTGTAACTCACTATGTCGATGAACGCCGCTAAAAGCCAAGCCACTTTCATGGTACCTAAAACCCAGGATTGGCGCAAACTAATCTGAAACTTGCCTGGCTAGCCAGCTAATCCGGCTTCATTGTACAGGCCCCTGAACAAGTTAATCAAGATCTGAAGGGTTACTAGATTTCGCTGATACGTTTTCCCAATACTGACAAAGGAATGCTTGGCGATCATGAACATTTTGGATGTGCAATGATCCATTCAATTGTTAATTTCACCTGTAAACTTTATAAAGGTAGAAAGCGTTCAGTTTTTTGTATTTACTTGTGGCCGATCAAGAGTGAAAACGGTCTGATTTGGTCCCTTTTTGTCTATGCATCAGTTCTTCGTTCTCATCCAAAATGGTTTAAAATAAACCAGAGTGGAATTACCTAGTTTCTTTTTTCTTCATGTTTTATATTGTACCACTTTGTAAATATTGGGCTAAGATAAAGGAGGGGGCCCTTCTGAAACCACCACATCCTGAGGTAAGAAGCAACACCCTTCACAGTTACCAACGCCCTGTCGACACTTGTGCGCAATGAAAATAAAAAAAGTGTTATCAGAGAAAGCCACAAAAAAAGTCAAACTGTGTCACTATTAAACCTGATCACGTAAGCACAAACTGAACCTGCGCGATAAATGATTCAGGAAAGATTCAGCTTTATTGGAAAAAGCTGCACACCAACCAAAAATGCTTCACATGGCTGTTTTATCTTTATATGGATCGATCCAGTCTTCAGATTTGACTTAAATGCAAACTCTCTGAACCAAATACATGACTATTTGGATGCACTTGAGTGAATTTACGCTTCTCATGATTGTAAAAACCTCCTGAGACGTTTGAATTTTCTAACAAAACGCCTTTAAATGCATGAGTTCCTCTATTAGTGGTGTTTAAAATCATTCCAGTATGCACCTCATGAAATTGGTTGATGAATGAATAAGCAGAGCTGGAATCTTCACCAAGAAACTCTCATATAAGTGTTTTTATTTGCGTTGCATCATTCCCAAACCTCAATTTGTGTTATTTTGGAGATTGCATGACTTTAAAAAAGTGAGTGAATAGATGTGAATTTTTCTTGAATTGTAGGCCATTCTTCTTCATACACCTTCAAACATTAACTTTACGCTCTCCCGTATAAAACAAGCCATTGGTCTGGTGTGACATGATGGGACGATTGATACTGAGACTCCGATGCTTCGACGCAGTTTTCAAAGCACTATTGTATGACACACTGTGCCGATGCTTGTATCGAAATGACAATACCACGTGATTGATGAAGCTGCGAGCGTCATGCAGTACCGGAAGGTCGGGACAGCTGGTTTGAAAAAAAAAAAAAAAGCTGGTTTGAAAAAATCGGCGCTTCGCGTGACTCTTGTATTTGACTTTACATCGACTTGATTGTGTGTGTGTGTGTGGGTGTGTGTGCGCGGACTTATTTGGGATTCAGTAGAATAGTTTAGAATAACCCGTATGCACGTAACATCTCTATTAGATTTTATCATGTTCTAGCTGGGGTCTCAGAGACCCCGAACAGCTCGCCCAAAGATATTTTTTGCTACTACTCACGTCAATTATTAATTATAATCACACACTTGTATATTTTATGTTATTGATCAATATGTGAATCCGTTGTTCAGGATATCTGATTTCGTACCGACATCTAGCTGTAGTTGAATGTAATTACATTTGAGTTTTTTTTTTTTCAGACAAGCTGTACAGTACTACTCACATTCAACCACAAGGGTTTGCTCTCTGAACACCTTTACCAGACCAACAGCTCTTAGAAATAAAGTCTGTATACAAAACCTCATGTTGACTCAGAAATGTGAATAACGCAAAATAAGGATACATAACATGCATATGTAGAAATATTACTAAAGTAAGTAATATTTACTATCAAAATAAGATGAAATTAAATTAAATGAGAAACAAGCAAAAAAAAAAAAAAAATGCTGACATTTTACTGACCCAAGTAAATTCCCAAAGCCATTCAGAATGTAGATGAGTTTGTTTCTTCATCAGATTTGGAGAAATGTAGCATTACATCACTTGCTCAGCAATGGATGCTCTGCAGTGAATGGGTGCCGTCAGAATGAGAGTCCAAACAGCTGATAAAAACATCACAATAATCCACAAGTAATCCACAGCACTCCAGTCCATCAGTTAATGTCTTGTGAAGCCAAAAGCTGCGTGTTTGTAAGAAACAAATCCATCTTAAGGCGTTTTTAACTTTAAACCATCCCTTCTGGCCAAAATATAAGTCCATAATCCATAATAACGCTTCCTCCAATGAAAAAGTATATCTTCTGTTGTTTTATCACATAAAAATCCACTGATATAACTGTTTTGGACCATTTTCACTTGAGAACCCTGTTGAAAAAAACTAGCATATGCTGGTTAGGTCTGTTTTGAAGCATGGCTGCTGGTTTAAGCTGGTCATGTGCTGGTCCTAAACTGGTTCTGAGCAGGAGCTAGTTGTTTAGGACCAGTTTAGGACCAGCACATGCAGCTTAAACCAGCTCAAACCAGCAGCCATGCTTCAAAACATACCTAACCAGCATATGCTGTTTTTTTTCAACAGGGAAAGTAGTATTAAGGATAGAGGACTCGTGTTTTAGCCAGAAGCAGCAGTTTGAAGTGAAAAAAAGGTGTCTTAAAGGTGTATTTGTTTATTACAAACACGCAGCTTTTCACTTCACAAGACATTAACTGATGAGCTGGAGGGGTGTGGATTATTGTGATGTTTTTATCAGCTGTTTGGACGCTCATTCTGACGGCACCCATTCACTACAGAGCAATTAATTCATTGGTGTGCAAGTGATGCAATGAAACATTTCTCCAAATCTGACGAGGAAACAAACTCATCTACAACTTGGACGACCTGAGGATGAGTACATTTCCAGCTAATTTTCATTTTTGGGTGAACTATTCCTTTACGGCGAGTTCCCTTTCATCCACCGGGCGTCGCCGTTCAGCATCTGTTCGCACAGACAAGTTTTCCTCAGTGTGTGTGATTGTATGGATCTCCAGCACAAAGCTCACAGATCGCATTCAGCATGTCCGTGTGTCCTCCCCGGACTCATATCTGTGTGTTATGTTTTTAAAGAGGCCTCAGGGGTGGAAATAACCCTGTCTGGATGAGTTTGATGAAAAGGCGATCTACTGGATGAAGAGGAGGAGCCGCATACACGTATGCACAAACACACGGAGACAATCGACCAGCAGCCACATTTATTAACTTATGAAACATGAGACGCTTCGGTCGGCACAACATACACACATCACGGTAAGTTTAACGGCTGTTTTTATTAATTCATTTATTCGAGTCGCTGTAGCTCCGCGGCGGCAAACCAACTTTGCGGGTGGCTGGAAGTCAAAAGGCTTTTGTTTCGAAACCCCAAACAACATTTCTGATCCAAAATATTTAAATGATATCTCGAAAAAATAGCGGTTTAGCTAGAAGATAACTCAAAGTCATGTTAACAAGAGATAAAAGATCCGTTCGCGGCGAAAACTCTCAAAATAAATCGAACTTCCCGGATTGAGCTTTTGTTAGAATCATACAGTGTATCCGGCAACAATGTAACTTTTCATCTTTCATTTCCCGCCATGTTCTGGTCGTTCATTCTACATTTGAACTTCTGGTTTCATGTTAGTCTATGATTTATTATCTGTACACAATCTGTGCTCCGTAAATGAATTGGATGGATATAAACGCCGTCCAGGTTGAACCTCCTACTTGTTGCATTGTGTTTCATTGTGTTGTCATATGTCATAATACAATGGGATATGTTGGTTATGCTGTTTATGGTCACATTTAAGTTTATGATCACATCAAGCTTTAAGTGTTCACATATTAGCATCATGAACCAAAAAATACATTGTAACTCATTATTATCTTTGGGTAAACCAATGGGATGGTGGTCATGGCTTGCCTGGACTTTAGGATTGGGCAGGTTTTTTTCAACTCTGACTGACTTCTGTCCTCCTACAGTCAGCGTTAAACAGCCATGGAAAAACCCCATCATCATCAAGAACAGAAACTTTACAGGAAGCGAGAAATGTAATTTTGACGTGTCATGTGTTAGCGTTGAAGGTTTTTCACAGTTGTTTTTGTGAACATAGCATGAGAAAATGCCTCGAAGAGCCTTGAAGCGACTGGAGATCTGTGAATGTTCAACCCTTCAACAACCAATATGAGCTTTTTCAATCCACGTTCCTGCGAACAATTCATCAGTGCGTGTCACTCCAAAAAGAAATATGTTCATTTCTGATATACTGGTCCATATCTGGTCATTTCGAGGCGACATTTAAAGTTGCCTAGTGTCAAATCTACACCTGAAGATGTGCATATTTGTATTTTTTGGTGAATTATATCTCATTATGGGAGTGAAATTGGTTTCATGTTGGCGTTAATGTCTCGTATTTTATGTAACATGACAGTGAACACTATAATAGAGGGATGGGTTCACATTGAGAAACTTCAGTGACTAGGAAACGTGAACAGGAAGTTGATAGTCGCTGATGAATGCAGACGTAGTCATAGGAAATTCAGGTTGCCAGGAGTGTTAGACGGTTGGGTGTCCCTGCCCTGTGTCCCCTTTTCACGCGTTCTTTTTTCTCAGTCTCTATTTTGAAGCGTTATTGTGAAGTTGAGAGGGAGGCCCACAAAGCTTTTTTTTGTTGCACCATATGTGCACGGACGTACTACTGAAAGGGAACCACTGAATGAGAGACCTGGAAGTAGGGCTGGGCAATACAGCTTTACAAATATCAGTGTTTTACAGCCTTTTATAATAGTTGAGATACAGCTCAATAGATATGTTTTTTCTCTGATTTGGCTTAAATATGTTGTTTTTGGTCGTCAACCAGAGGAATGATCAATTCAAACAAACAGTCAAAAATAAGGCTTTTTTCCCCCCACTGAATTAATACAATGAAGAATTATTTATTAATTTCATTTACATGCAGGAATATAACTACAGTATTTTTTCTACATGTATTTTTGCTAAAACGTTTACTTTGTAGCTTTAAAAAAATCACATTTTTAGACCTTTAATCATATTTGATATATATGTAAATGTTTGTATTAGCTCTGATTTGCAAAATAAATCAAGACATTTGTTCACGCTGCCCTTTTTTTTAGGAAACTGTGAAGAAATATATTTACTTATTCTTTTATATGCACTAATATGACAACTGCATTTTTTTTTCAACATCTATTTTTACTTAAACTTTTATGATGCCGCTTAAAAAAATCACAATATTTTTTTTCGGTCTTCAATAATATTTTTAATATTTCAGATTTGTTTTTCTCAGATTTGCTTAATGTTGTTCTTTTGTCCTCAACCAGAAAAATCATTTAAAACAAACAGTCCTTGCAAAATAAATCTAAAGGCTTTTTTCATTTTTTATTTTATTTTTTTTGCATAGAAATTAACAGTATTTTTTCTGCATCTTTTTACAAAAATCCTTTATAAAAAATTCTACACTGATATTTGTGATAATTTTTGCTAAATAATCACTGCGTATGAATAAATTCACTTCTAAGGTGCAATTACTTAAATACTAAACTACTGCTAAAAATACTAAATCTAATGCAATGTTTTGTTAGTAAAGTTTAAAAAGATGCTATTAAAACAATTTTTGTTCATTAAAACATCATATTTAGGGAATCAAATAAAATGTGCATTAAATTATCGCAATATTAATGATGTTGTTTTATTTTTTTTTTATTGCAAGCAAAATATGTGAATATTTAGTGGATATTCTCAGCCTTATATTAGGCCTAGATCTATATTTTCTTCTGTAATGGATGAACATGAATCCATTGGTGACATAGAAACCAGTGGCTTCATATTGATCCACTAATGAGTATTGACGAGCAGATGGCAAGAATTAGATCGGGTTTCTCCTACATGAGGTTCCCAGAAGCCGCCTTCCTCACGAAAATCTGCCAGATTTACAGATGACAGCGGAATGCTTCCCTAATTTAGTGAAACATCCACCGTGATCCACTCATCTGTTTGGCTGCGGTAAAGACACGCTTTTAATCTAGAAGGTGCCCCAAAGTGGCCTGACAGCAATGCATTGTCCCTGCCCTGTGTCCCCTTTTCACGCGTTCTTTTTTCTCAGTCTCTATTTTGAAGCGTTATTGTGAAGTTGAGAGGGAGGCCCACAAAGCTTTTTTTTGTTGCACCATATGTGCACGGACGTACTACTGAAAGGGAACCACTGAATGAGAGACCTGGAAGTAGGGCTGGGCAATACAGCTTTACAAATATCAGTGTTTTACAGCCTTTTATAATAGTTGAGATACAGCTCAATAGATATGTTTTTTCTCTGATTTGGCTTAAATATGTTGTTTTTGGTCGTCAACCAGAGGAATGATCAATTCAAACAAACAGTCAAAAATAAGGCTTTTTTCCCCCCACTGAATTAATACAATGAAGAATTATTTATTAATTTCATTTACATGCAGGAATATAACTACAGTATTTTTTCTACATGTATTTTTGCTAAAACGTTTACTTTGTAGCTTTAAAAAAATCACATTTTTAGACCTTTAATCATATTTGATATATATGTAAATGTTTGTATTAGCTCTGATTTGCAAAATAAATCAAGACATTTGTTCACGCTGCCCTTTTTTTTAGGAAACTGTGAAGAAATATATTTACTTATTCTTTTATATGCACTAATATGACAACTGCATTTTTTTTTCAACATCTATTTTTACTTAAACTTTTATGATGCCGCTTAAAAAAATCACAATATTTTTTTTCGGTCTTCAATAATATTTTTAATATTTCAGATTTGTTTTTCTCAGATTTGCTTAATGTTGTTCTTTTGTCCTCAACCAGAAAAATCATTTAAAACAAACAGTCCTTGCAAAATAAATCTAAAGGCTTTTTTCATTTTTTATTTTATTTTTTTTGCATAGAAATTAACAGTATTTTTTCTGCATCTTTTTACAAAAATCCTTTATAAAAAATTCTACACTGATATTTGTGATAATTTTTGCTAAATAATCACTGCGTATGAATAAATTCACTTCTAAGGTGCAATTACTTAAATACTAAACTACTGCTAAAAATACTAAATCTAATGCAATGTTTTGTTAGTAAAGTTTAAAAAGATGCTATTAAAACAATTTTTGTTCATTAAAACATCATATTTAGGGAATCAAATAAAATGTGCATTAAATTATCGCAATATTAATGATGTTGTTTTATTTTTTTTTTATTGCAAGCAAAATATGTGAATATTTAGTGGATATTCTCAGCCTTATATTAGGCCTAGATCTATATTTTCTTCTGTAATGGATGAACATGAATCCATTGGTGACATAGAAACCAGTGGCTTCATATTGATCCACTAATGAGTATTGACGAGCAGATGGCAAGAATTAGATCGGGTTTCTCCTACATGAGGTTCCCAGAAGCCGCCTTCCTCACGAAAATCTGCCAGATTTACAGATGACAGCGGAATGCTTCCCTAATTTAGTGAAACATCCACCGTGATCCACTCATCTGTTTGGCTGCGGTAAAGACACGCTTTTAATCTAGAAGGTGCCCCAAAGTGGCCTGACAGCAATGCATTATGGGTGTGTGAGGGGAAAGATAAAAGACGCTTTGAAAGCATCAAGCGAACCGACCAGAGTTTGCGGTGCGGACTCGGGATGGCGGACGCAAATTGTTAAAGCTGAGAGAAAAGCGTTTGGACGCGCTCGCTGGCAGTTTCTCCACTTCCAATGTGCGCTCTCGATCCAAGTTTATAAATATCCCTAATTATAGAGCACATGAAGGAATGACTCTGGTCTGACACGCATTCGGTTGCTGTTTTGCATTAACCCCTTCTAAACATGTTAGCCTGACATTTTTGGGTGTTTAAGTCATGAATAACGGAGCGATTATTGTCTATTGTGTGTCAAACTGTCCCGGAGATGAATGGGAGTGTCCGGTCACGCTACTGGCAGCGTGTGGTGTGGTTTTTATGACCGTCCACACACTCACCCATTGATCTCATGCCGGAAGTGGCCTGTCTGGACGGGAGTGGAAAGTGGATGGAGTAGTTTGAGTGCCAGGGACTTCATAAAACACCCCCTCCATCCTCCGTCGCCGGACGCGCTGAGCTCAGCTGCAAGGTTTCTGGAGTGAATCTCTGTTGACTTTTGCTTGATTCGTGACGCTTTGTTTAGTAAACGGGCAAACATTGCACCATTCTCCTCTAAATCTGATGTAAATACACAGCAGGAGGTTTAATAAGTCTGCTAAATGGGCCATC